ATTTGGGTTACTTTGGTGATACCTATAAATTATCGTTGCCTTAATTAGCTCGCCTTTTCCGATTCCCAACATCATCAGAGATAATTGCAGGGATCAAGCATTCGATTTATGAACTAACCGGATGACCTAGGGCAAGATAGGAGAGATTCAGAAAACCAAAATGTCGCGAAACGACGAGGCGAGCTCCCAACGTTTGGCATCGTGCCAACATGATCGAAAAATTTTCTAGATGCGGACTGTTCTCGTCTGAGACTTTCAGACCCCATGCAATGTCAACCCGGATAACCCACTTCCAACCTTAGCTTTACCATTGCCGAAAATCCTTTCATCTAACCTCCCGGGCTTTTCAATTTGAGCCGCCATTTTCATCCCTCCATTCGCATGCCAAGTTTCGTACATATATGTCGGTTGGCCTACTTCGCCCATTAGGATAAGCAATGAAATATACTTTAATAACTGCTATATGCGTTCTTATTTTATTGTATTTAGACTTGTTGTTCATATTATACCTGTAGATTTTCTTAATCTGCATTATCGTTTAAAGTATTTCGGAAAATCAGATTATCAAATTGCGCTTTTCTTGAAATTCCTAAAAAAATAGAATGGTGGTTAGTAGGTCATCTACTTCAACTTACCTGAGGTCCAACTTGCCGTTCTGGAGTTAGATTAATATAGTCCGCGGCGCGACGTTCCGCGCACACCGTTAATTTACATCCGGAACAAATAACTACCAGCAGCCGCGGGAAACAAAGTCTGCTACATTCTTCTACTTTCCCCTTCTACAAATTTCTTTCACTGCCTATGCTATTTTCTCACCGCTGGAAATCCTATAACCACTGTTTTCGTAGGCCAAAATGCTGGGACTAGGGGTACGAGGGTGGGCCTACATAAGCTACTTTTGCCCCAAGGACATTCATCCACGACGTGGACACTTGCGGTCATTGACGATTATGGATTGCTTTTGATTTCCCGGTGTTGTGAGCTTTTGCGCCTCATTTTATTCCTTTTGAAGGGAGGACTTTTTTGCTGAACATTTCGGAATAATATTTTCAAAATAGAGCGCATTCCTCTTCTATTTGCATAGCAGGCCTATTTGTGAATTTGTTTCCGTTATGACCTTACTTTCGCAGCAGGCGTCGGCCTGGGCGGTCAGTTGCAAATCTAGCGAGCCAGTGTTTTATTCACCGACATAAATCATCATACAGGTAATTTCCGCGTCATTCTCACTAAAAGGAGGTCCGACGTCCTTAACTGCCCTAGAGGAGGTACCAGGCCGTATATGGCGCGTGCTCCCACCTCCGACCGTATTTGCACCCCCTTGGAATCCCCTGAAAACATCTGGAATCAAGAAGAGGATGAAAACGAAGATTCGATCACTGGGACAACACTTTTATTCGCCTGACGTTTCGACATCCGTCGCGGATTCTTCCTTAGAGACATGAGCAGAAAATAGTAGCAGAAACGGATGATACACGCACAGGAAGTTTAAGTATTTATAGAACACAGTCCTTACTCCACGCGCATGACAGATAGCGACAATTAACGATAATTGGCCTCGTGTGAGTGGATTGCTTGATGACTGGCATGCGGTCCTTGACCTGCTGAAGTCGCATCACGCGTAATGGAATTGGACGTGGTGATTGCTCGGTCAGCTGTGTATGTATCACACGTTTCTGCTACTATTTTCCG